ATATAAAATAAAATATTGTTAGGACAAGTTGGCTCAAAAAAACTAAACAGAAACTCCACTATATTATAGGTTCCAGGAAACAAAGAAGCTCGAGTTTGGCACTCAGCGAGAACTTACAATATAGGGATGTCTAAAAAACTATCCAAACTTGATATGTTCATAAGTATATATAGACAAAAATGTCAAACAGCCACTCAAACCATGTGCAATGAGAAAACAATTAACAATTTACATTGATTAGCAGTAACACCTAACGTCGCTGTGGTCAAATTTAGAAAAGAAAGCAAGTTTCAATTGACCTACTGCATGACTATATCAGGGTGTAAAAGTGTCATGGCACATCCATTGCAGGCAAAGAAATCTCTCAATGTTTGTTAAACATTATTTGAACAACAAAATTAGAAATATATAGTGTGAAGTAGTTTGAAAGAGTTCTAACGTATAATACAATTAGTACAACATTTGAAACAAAACAGAGAGGGTAAGAGGATTGAAGTAGACACAAAAATAAATAAATACAAGATAATAAAAGAAAAGAGAAAAATGAGCAAGTGTTATTTGTTATAATTTTTTTCTCAAATTCTATCAGTCTTACCAATACAACAACTATATGCAAGTCGTAAAAAAGTGGAAAAAATGTGATTGAAAAAATATATAAATAATAAATAATATTAACCTCAAGTTACGCAGATATGTCTTAAGCCTTGTCGTTTCATGACCTCGGCAATGATATCTATGTAAGAATCAAAATAACAAAAGCAAATATATTATAATTATATTAGGATGTAAAAATATTAATAGATGTTAAAATAAAGTTGCGTACCACATAAGAGCCTCGATGTTATGGAAAGTGGTTTTCTTTCTCGTAGTTCTGTGTTACCAGTTTGTTGGTGCCCAGGACTAGTGATCAGTTACTTACTCGATGTATCAGTACTTCTTATTGAGTTATAATATTTGTTTGTTTGCCTTGGAAAAAAATTCGCTAAAATCTACAAAATTGAACTAATAGCGAGGGATATCTCGAGATTCAAAGGGTCTAACCGCCGTACACTCGTGAAATTTTAACATATATGGATGTTGGGTGGTTCTGTAATCACTAATCACCTTTGTTCTCTTGTATCTCGAAATTTGTCATTATATAAAATGACTCCCCTTTTATAATATCTTCATATTTCGAGATGCGTCATCTCGAAATGATAGTTTGAATTTTTTCACCCTATACGAATGTAAGTAAAGCCGTATTATTAGACATGGGAAGATTATTATTTTTTTTTTTGAAAAAAAGCCTCATAAAACAGGAAAATATTAAAATTATAATGTACCTTTTCATCTAAGACACAAATCTCCATCGTGATACGATTTTGAGGTTTGTTCTTGTCATGTTTGAAACATACACGCTCACAACGCACTCGTATTTTCCATGTTTTTTTATCCGATGTGATTTCTTCAATTGTGTTGAAAACAATTGTCATGGTAAAATGATTTTTTTTTTTTTTTTTTTTTTTTTTTTTTTTT